GATGGCAAGTTCAAGGCCAGCCTGGGCTACACAGGGAGACCCTGTCTCAAAAAGCAAAACAAAATAAAAGAAGTAAAAGGGCAGAGGGTATAGCTCAGTGGTAGAGCATTTGCCTAGCATGCATGAGGCCCTTGGTTTCATACCCAGCACAGCAAAAGAAAAAGTGAAATAAAAACAGTTGAGTTACCTAAAAACAAAACAAGAAAGACACCACTACATAGCTGCTGGAACAGCTAAATTGGAAAGGCGCTACTCCAAGAGTTGGTGAAGAGATGAAGAATCTGGAGTGCTCTGGAGCTCTGCACATGGGGATGGGAGGTAAAGCTATACAGGAACTTTGGAAAACAGTGGAGCAGTTTCTTTAAAAAAAAAATGTAAAGGCAAACATACATCTCCCATATGGCTACACAAAAGACTTATACGCAAACACAGAAGCTTTAGTCGTAATAGTCAAAATCTGGAAATGACCAGAAGCCCATAAACAGAGGTACAGAAGGACAGATAAACAAATTCATACAATGGAGTACTGCTCCATAGGAAACACATGGCCACATGGTGAACCTCAAAATAACTAAGCAGATATTCAAAGAAGACGCATTGCATGATTGTGTACAAACTTCTAGAAAATGCAAACTAGTCTCCAGTGACAGAGCAGTGATTGGTGCTGCTTAAGGAGGAGAGAGTGAAGGGTGAGGGAGAGGCATGAGGAAACATTTGGGTGACAGTTTCATGGGTATTTACATTTGTAAAGACATACCAAGTTGTATACTTTAATATGTGTTTATTATGTATCAATTATATCTCAATAAAACTTAAAAGTGCCATGCCTTCCACAGAAGGTAGACAGGGTTTACCCTCCTAATTCAAGCAACTCAGAAAACAAGACCAAATACCTAAGCCACTGGTTAGCAGATTTTGGGTAAGACAAGAGGCTGCATGGAAGCGACCCCTGAAGGAGAGGAACAAAGGAGGTGGCCAGGTGATTGCTCCAGCTTCCTTTCTGCAGAGCCTTAGCCAGGGTCTGAGATGAGCAGAGTCTGGAGTTCAGAGGGACCAAGCAGCTGGATTTGTGGGAGTCCTGGGGAGGGGCATGGAGAGGCCTACAGAGGTATAGAAGTTCCTTCTGGGACTTCAGCTAAGTGCTGGACTCTGCCCATGGGAAAAGGGGAGCAATCCCTGGAGCTCACACAGGACTGGCCAGCCTGGAAAGGCCAGTAACCATGGGATATTGCTTAGAATCTCAGGGGGTCACTGCCTCAGTGGTAGGGGCCAAGTCAGCCCCAGACTAAAGAATGTTTGGGGGCTGGGACAGGGCTCAAGTGGTAGACCTCGCCTAGCAAGTGCAAGGTCCTGAATTCAAACCCTAGTAGTGCCTCCTCCTCCAGAAAAGGGGTTGGACCAGCCCTACCAAAGCTTAAAAGCCTCAAAAACAACTATATGGATTCTAGGTAGTTAAACCATAAGCCCAAAAATATTTAAAGGAAGAAAGAAACCAGCATCCAACAATGTAAAATTGACGATAACTTCCAACCAATCAAAAATGACCAGACATACGAAAGTAACAATTAAACTGGCAAGGGTAAATATGACCCAAAAGTAAAAGAAGAGTCAGTAACAGAAACACAGCAAGAAATTACACAGATGACAGACTACACGAGGAACCAGAAGGGAAATTACAAAGCATCTCAACATGAAGGAAAATAAATTACATATATCAAGATCTATTGCATGCAGTCTGGGCGAGGGACTCACATCTGCAATCCCAGCTACTCAGGAGGCAGAGAACAGGAGGATTGTGGTTCAAAGCCAGCTGGGCAAACAGCTCATGAGACCCTATCTTGAAAATACCCAACACAAAACAGTGCTTGGAATGGCTCAAGTGGTAGAGCACCTGCCCAGCAAGCGTGAAGCTCTGAGTACAAACCCCAGTGCTGCCAAAAAAACCCCAACCAAACCTACTGCATGCAGCGATGGTGTACACACAGAGAAACATGCCTCACTAAACTCTTATGAGAGAAGACAGACTGATAGTCAGTGACTGTGGGGAGAGGCTGTGACTGAGAAGGAATGGCATGAAGGAATGTGTTAGGTAATGGAAGTGCAATGTGTCCTGACTTTGGTGGTGTGCACACAAATCCATACATGTTTAAAATCCACAGAACTACATGACAAACAAAAGTCAGCTGAATTCACTTTGTTAATTTAACAAATAAAAATAATTTGGCTGGTTTAAAAAGTCAGTGATGTAAGCTTCTATCTTACAAATAAGTAAGATAAATGAGTAAATTAAATCTGAAGCGAGCACTAGAAGGTAAGAAATAGAGAAGAGAAATCAATGAAGTGGAAAACAATAGAGAACGGCAATAAAACCTGATGATCCAAATTACCCATCAATACTGTGAATTAGAGAGGGGACAGCACTACAGATCTCACAGACAATAAAAGAGCAACAAAGGAGTATTGCCAACAAGTTTATGACAATAGACTTGACAAATTTTGGAATGACAAATTCTTTGAAAGATACAAAACACCAAACCCACTCAAGAGGAGAGAGATAACCTTTGACAGAAGTGGTAGCACATGTCTGTAATTCCAGCTACTTGAGAAGCAAAGATAGGAGGATCACAGCTCAAGGCCAAGCCTGAGCAAAAAAGTTAGTGAGACCCTATCTCAAAAGACAAGCTGTGGCTGAAGCAGTAAAAGTGCCTGCCTAGCGAGCATGAGACCCTGAGTTCAAACCCCAGTGCTGCCAAAAAAAAAGCTTGGCATGATGGAGCACACATATAATCACAGCTACTTGAGGCAGAGGTAGGAGGATCACAGCCCAAAGATGACCTAAAGAAAAAAGGGCTGAGGGTGTGGCTCAAGAGATAAAATGCTTGCCTAGCAAGTGTGAGGCCCTGAGTTCAAATCCTGATACTGCCCCCAAAAGAAGAAACAAATAATGTCAAATATTCATGTATCAAGTGAAGAAACAATGATTAAGCCTTTCCCTCAGAAAAACTCCAGACTACAGGCCCGGATGGCATTACTGGTTTAAGAGACATTTAAGAAGAGACAATGAAGGAAGGTGTATTTCCTAATTCATCTCATGAGGTGGCATAACCTTGACAGCAAATCAAACAAGAGGGTCACAAGACGACACAGACTGTGTAATTCATGGAGACAGATGCAAAACAAACAAAGCCTGAACAAAGCCTTGGCTAGTCAGATCCAGCGGTGTGTGTAAAGTGTCCCAATAGATGGTATTAACCCTCCCACACACACATAGGACCCGAGACAGCTTTCTGAAGAACCTGGGACAAGCAGAAATTTGGGAGGTGGTGAAACAGGGAAGAGAAAACCACAGGAGAACACACAAATGAGCACCATAAGGCAAGAGATGTGGGTGTATTAGCACCCAGTAGGGAGCAACTGATGGACTTCAATGGAAGCTACTGTCCTTAGGAACAGTCCCAGACACAGGCCAGAACCCCAGGACCCTGTGCCCCAGCCACTGCTGACTGGTCCAAAGCTGAAAACACCCCCAAGCTACCAAGCTGGTACCATCAGACTTCTCTTTCTCTCTTTCTCTCTCCCTCCACCTCCCTTCCCTCTCACCCCCACTAACCTCCTCCAGACAGGGTCCTGCTATATAGCCCAGGCTGGCCTCAAACTCATAATCCTCCTGCCTCAGCCTCCGAAGTGCTGGGATTACAGGCACAAACCACTGCACCCATCAGATTTCTTGCCCAAGAATTTGAAACAGGAATGAAGACAGACTCCTAGTCTGGGATTTGTTATGACAAAATCAGAGCCCTTGTGGGGAGGCCATGAACGCTTGCTGCTGGGATCCCCAGAAGTTCCTGGACAGTTCCTGTCCAGCTTCCCTAGGCTCTTTGGAAGCTTCTTTGGATCCTGTGAACTGCCCCAGAGGCCTTCTTACAGACTTCCTCTCTTAGCTTTCATTAATGAGAGGCAGTTTCTGTGGCTTGCAACCAAAAGAACATTGAAGAGTTCATCGAGTATCATGACAGCTGCCACAAGTTTACCTCTATGAAAGAGTTCTGCCACTGCATCAAAATTTAAAACCTGGGCACAGCCAACGGACTGTAACAGGAAGTTCTGGAATCAGACCAAGTTGGAAGATGGTGCAGACTGAATACCCCATGTGACAGGAACAGGAGGTACAGTTAAGGGAAGGAGAGGGATGCACTAAAGGTTTCTGAATGGGAAAGGACAGGGTCGCCACAGTCTTAATGTAAGAGAAGATCCGGCAGTGCTACAGAGGCTGAATTGTGAAGTGGTGACAGTCTTGACCCTCCCGAGCAGTGATCATTACTCCAAGCCTGAGACAATGATCCTTGGAGTGCCAGGCCCGGACGTGGCTTGCTCAATACGCTTGTATTATCTATGCCAAGCCCAGCTCTTGACAGAGGCTAGCAGAATGTTCCCGAATTCTTCTTTGAAGAAATTCTAACATGGGAGTTTCCAAATGTGGCCATGTCAGGCCAGGTGGGACAAACACCAGTTGTTACCAGCAGTGGGCAGGGAGGGGGATGACAAGTCCCAGTGACTGTCAGGTGCACTGGCTCCTGGCCACATAGCCTCAACAGGGAAGCCAGAGAACCACACCTTTCTTCAGAAAGAAAACCTGTGTTTCCACTGAGGTCTCTTTCAGCTCCAAACCCACAGCAAGAGCACCAGGTGTTATAAATAGCAACACCAAGGTTGCAATTTGACGGTGTCACTTGTGATGTTAGGAAAGTGTCCAGTGACTAAATCAGCTATAAAGCAAGGGGTGGACAGAAGCAGTGTGAAGCCAGCCACATCCTAACCTTTCCCGTCTCGCCTGAGTCACCCATTGCTACGGCTTCACTTAAAACATTCTAACAAGGCTGAAGAGAAGCCGTGCAGAAGTCCACCACGGGCCAGAAAGAAACGCCTCCCCAACGGTGCTCTCCTCTCCCCACCCTGAGCCCCGGGCCCCAGGAAGGCCCGAGGAGAGTAAGCATGCCTACCTTTGTTGTGAGACATGGCGTACAGGAGGCAGAGCACAAAGAGAGCATGGTAGTCGTCCTCAGGGCTGTCCAGCGCATGGTACACCATGTCTAGGAAGGGTCTGGAAAAGAGGAGGAGCATGCCTGAGCCTTAGCACACCACACACATCTCCCCTCTCCCGCCTGTCTGCAGCCATCCTTGCCTTATACTTAAAGCCACTATTGTGTGGTAAGTCCACAAATGAGAGATGGAAAACTGCTATCAAGAGGGGAACAAATGAGAGATGGAAAACTACTATCAAGAGGGGAACTGACCAAGGAACAGATCACTTAGTCACTCAACAATTACTCACCAGGTGTCTGAGATGCCTAGGGATCAATAATGCAAAGTGCCCACTCTTTGGCACTCTGATGCCAGTTGGCAAAGACAGAACAGACAAATGCATGTCACCACTTCAAAGTGAAGGGTGTCAAGAGAGAAAAACAGGGAAGCACAGTAGACCCACCATATCAGATGAGCCACAAGGAACGTGGCAGAGTGGTTCAAGCAGTAGAGCGCCTGCTTAGTAAGCATGAGGCCCTGAGTTCAACCTCCAGTACCACCACCAAAAGAGAAAAAAGAAGAAAAAAAAAAAAAAAGCCACAAGGAACATGTGAACAAGTTTAAGAATACAGCTCTGGAGCCAGACTGCCTGGGTTCTAATTCTGATTTGACCTCTTCTTATCTGCAGACCCTCTGCCAGTTACCCACGCCCCTGTGTGAAGGCACTAGAAGCTGTGGGTGACTGGGAAGGCTCAGGTGCAAGGCTGACTGGCACAGAGCTGGGCAGCTCCTGTTGACTTCTACTCTTAATATTCAAAGGCACCTCTCCATGATGTCATTTTGGCAGGATCCCGGCACAGCAATTTCTTGGACCAACACTCCCTGACTATAAGAGTCAATAGTGAGGTCTCGCCACTAGGACTCTGTGGGTGAGTTCTAAAGAGTGGCTGCAGATGTCAGAAACCACACATCCCAAACACGCCCTTCCAAGGCTTACCAGCCTTGGATATGCACTGATCCAGGTGTGATTCTGTGGCCATCTGTGTCTTCCCCCTCTGGATGCAAGGTTGAGGCTCAGAGAGCAGAGCACCCTAGCTAGTGACCAAGGGCACTGGAAGGACACACAGCGATCATCAGGAGGGAAACGGTACACTGCAAAACCTAATATACAGAGCTGGAGGAATGGCTTAAGTGGTAGAGTGGCTGCCTAGCAAGCATGAGGCACTGAGTTCAAGCCTCAGTATCACCAACCTCCACCCCACCAAAAAACTCCGAAATTCTTTGAAAATCAATAAAATAGATAAATCTTTAAAAAAACAAAAACAAAACCTTCTATACTGTCTTGAGTTCTGAACTCCATAAATGTCAATTTACAACAACCATCTGACAAGGAATTAATATTCAGAAAATATACAGAGCTCAGAAAATTAAATACAACCAATAATCCAATCAATAAAAGCGCAAATGAATCAAACAGCTTTCAAAAGTAAAATGGCCAATAAACACAGGAAGAAATGTTTAACAGCCATAGCCATAACAGAAATGCAAGTGAAAGCAATAGCAAGGTTCCACCTCAGCTCTCAAAATGGCTATCATTAAGAATATAAACCACTAATGCTGGTGAAGACACAGGGAAAAGGAGCCCTTACACACTGTTGGTGGGAATGTAAATTAGTGCAGCCACTATGAAAATCAACACAGCAATTCCTCAAGAAACTGAAAACAGACCTAGCTTATGACTCTGGCACTCCTAGAAGAACTACCCAAAGGGAGGTAGGCCAGCAGCACCAGAGACACCTGCACACCTGTGTTTACCACAGCACCGTTCACAAGAGGCAAGTTTCAGAACCAGTTTCGGTGCCCCAACAACCAACGAATAAACACAATGTGCTCTATATATACAATGGACTATTATTCAGCCACAAAAAAGAATGAAATTTTGTCATTTGCGGGAAAATGAATGGAGGTGGAGATCATCATGTTAAGAAAAATAAGCCAGACTCAGAAAGACAAATGTCACCTGTTTTCTTTCTATGCAGAATCTAGATCCATAAATGCAAACAAAAAGGCACAAGCCTAATCGGGAGACTATTTTGGGAGAGGACTGGGGATAGGAAGAGGGGAAGCGAGGGTGATGGGGGTGAACAGACTCAAAGTACATTGTAAACATGTCAAGTGTAATAATGAAACCCATCATTTTGTATGAGAAAAAAAACCCAAAATACTAAATTGAAAAACTAGTAAAATTGTACTGGTAACATTTCAAATAGCATGTGTCACACAAAAATTAAAAGAAAAACCTCAAAGGGGACATTGACATTCAGTCTCTGCTCTTCTGGCCCCACTGGGGCTCCACCTTATAGACATGTTAACAGCTCTGCCAGGAGTGGATCTGGGTTTCTGTAAACTCCCAGTAATGATTCCTCCAAACTCAAGAGCAGTGAGGCACCAGTGGCTCACGTCTGTAATCCTAGCTCCTCAGGAGGCAGAGATTAGGAGGATCATGGTTCAAAGCCAGCCCAGGCAAATAGTTCCACAAGATCCTATTTTGAAAAAACCCTTCACAAAAATAGGGCTGGTGGAGTAGCTCAAAGTGAAGACCCTGTGTCGAAGCCCCAGTACCACCAAAAAAAAAAAAAAAAAAAAAAAAAAAAGCAGGGTAAAGGACCAGACATTTATTTGAAATCTGGCTTATATTTTTGTTTGGGAATAATAGGAATAACCAATCAATAGCAGAGGAGGACTAGGGACACACCACCTTTAATGTACAAGAGAAAGCATAAAGAAGCCACAAGGCATTTTGTTTACCAACATGGTAATAAAATGAAAAAGATGAATGGATTTGATATTAGATAGAAAACAAGGAAAAATAAAAATGACAGCAGACACATCTGCCGGATGGGGCAGAACTCTCCGAATGTTAGCACTGAACAGAACTGGTGACCAAAGCAGAGCCTCCACATACGGGAATCACATGGACTTTTATTCCTTCCATAGACGTCACAAGATGTTCTGAATGTACATCACTGTCACGCCTTGTACAAGTTTTTGTAGAGAAAAGAACAGTGTTTTGAATGCGTTTAGTTTCTGAAGTCTATCTACACTCAACCCTGAGTGCCCATGTTTCCCACAATACATAAGGAGTATAAGAATAGTTCTAGTTTTCACTATGCTGTTTTCTTTGGGCAAGTGATCAATGCCAAGATTAAATTTAGGTCCTGAAGAACAAGTGGCCATCTTCCCTCCCTGTCAGCATGTTCTCTGCTGCAGCACTGGGAAGTGGGGGACAGAGGGCTATCACAGTCTCTGACAACTGGCGACTGAGTACCTTTGCAAAGGAGAAGCAACGCTCCAGCTGGGCCAGTCTCTTCCCTGGCCTTTGGCCTCAGGAAGAGCAGGGATCTGGTCCACAGCTTCCTAGGCCTGCAGGTAGCCTAACTCAAGGATTCCCTTATTAAACCATGTGGCCAAAGACATACGTTAACCACTCACGGTTAGAAAGAATCTCGGCCAATTTGAAGAAAACCTCTCTGTTAACACTCAAAAAACAAGAGGCCACCAGCCCCAACAAACACTTTGGTCTGCTTCCTACAGAAGGGGCCAGACACAGAAATTTTCCTTCCTGTCCCAGGGCCACAGCATGACCACAGGATGCTCCACCTGTGCTCCATCTGTTTCCATGCTTCCGTGCGTTGGGACCTACGAAACTGAACACACAGCAGTGTTCACTTAGGTGCAGAGACACCGCCACGTGAAATCCTCCACTCTCGTCACTCGTGGCATTTATAATTATTCCTACTCTAATGATTCCATGTCAAGCAGCTAAAGGTTGCCCCACCTCTGCACTTTAGAAGGGCTTCCTTCATTTTCAAAGTTTTATGAGTTACTTTTTTTTGTCATTAAATGAAATAAAAATAAAGGGTCTTTACAGGTTATATGAACTGAGAGCCCACAAGGTATGTATTTCAGTATTTTTTATTTAACAAAAACTGAAAATGGCTCTCTGGCACAGCTGATAAAAATGAATCCCATCTGTTAGGTAACTGAAACATTTGCCAAAGAGGAAAACATGATGTGGAGGGAAAAAATGGGTGGGCTTTGACACCCCCCTTGAAGTTGGATTAATGAATAAAGAAGGTTCCTGTGTCAACACTAAAGCAGGGTCCATAGGAGGTCATTGTGGGGACTATGCAGGTGGACATGGGACAGCTGAGGAAACAACCCTGGAATGAAGAAGCCCTCGCAACAGTTAACTACAGACTCTGAGTCCTGACAGAAGCCCCACCATGGCAGTCTGAGTGGCAGAAGTAAGCTAGTAGGGAGGCCAAAGCTGGCCCCAAGGGGATCCCTCCTGAGAAGAGCACGGTGGGGATGGGGGACGGATGGGGACATGGCCTGCACACTTTGGACAGGACCCAGCTGCCAAGTGCTCCAAGGTGTTGGTGCCCTGTCCTGGCCACCCTCTTTCCAAGGGGCAAGCACTCCAGTGTCAAAGGCCAGGCTGTGCCTTTATGGCCAGAGGCTGGAGAAGAGGGAACAAGGGCAAGCGAAACAGCCTGGCGAAACAGGAGAGGTCATCAGGCTGGCAGAAGGAGCTACTGCAGCCACCATGCTCAGCCCACCCCTCCTCCCTGAGGATGCTCCCCAGGGGCCAGGCCAGCAGCAGGGCCTACCTGCTCCACTGCGTGCTGTCAGAGCAGGTGGCGGCAGCAGCGCTCTTCTCCTCATCTGTGGTGTTTTGCTCCCGCGCGGAGGCACTGGCTGCCAGCTCCGACAGCTTGCTACGCTCCATGATCACCATCTCGATCTCTGCAAGCAAAGGCGGACACAGCTTGAGCCTTGCACCTCGCAGACCTCCACTAGCAGACGCCCTAATGTTCATGTCTGAGTGTGCAGCTGGGACCTCAGCACCACACCACAGCAACTGGGCCAGAACCTCTCTCCCCATTCATCTTGGCAACACCAAGAAATGTGGCCCTGACTTTGAGATCCAAACACAAACTGCAATCATTTATTTAGTACTTTATTGATAGCACATTTCCTTCCCAGAGGACTGGAGCAGCTTAGATGATGTGACATGTGGCTAGTGAGACACCTGCATCCAATGAAAACATTCTGAAGCTGTTTCCACTTTAAAAACAGCTTTGGCATGACTGGACCTCCTGCCTTCAACTTTCTACTCACCGCTTCTGGAAGGCAGAGCGGGGCAAGGAATCTTTTGGGATATTTTGGGTTTTTTTTTTCCAGTGAAGTAAGAGCAACTTCTAGCAACCAGCGTGAGCATAGTGGGCACTGTTATTTTCAGAAAAGTGAGAACTACTAAAGGAAGCATCTGCAATTACAGATGGATCTCTCCACCCGAGTCCTGACCATATGAACTAGGACTTTCTCAGGCAACCCTTGGAACTCAGGGTTCAGGTAGTCTCCCCTCTTTGAGAGAAGTAATGGGGGAGCAAACAATGATGAAATGAACATACTTGTGTTTCCAGAAGGAGGAGAACGCATGGCTCAGCTCTGATGCCTCCACCACTGTCTCCTCCTGACGTCTCAGCTTCCTTTTTGCCCTCTAAGTTCACACGAATGAGTGAGCTTAGATGGAAATTACCTCACTCTTCTGTTCATAGCTCTCACTGCCTCTTGTCACACTCAGGATGAAATCCAAACAGTATGCTGTGCCTTCCCTTGAGCCTGGCCCGTCCTCCTCTGACCTCACGTCCTGGCCCTCTCCTCCTCACCAGCTCCCACACGCTGACTGGGCTGTACTTCTCCATGGTTCTCTATGCCCCATGCATGTTTCCACCCCAGAATCTTTACATGGCTATTCTTTCTCTCACACAGGTGGGACTGCCACATCCTCAAGGCTCAGCTCCCCTCCTTGAAGACCTCTTGGGCATCCTCTCCACCTGGTTTTTCTTTACCTCTTTTTTAATATTAACTAAACTACATACTTCTTTTAGATTTCATTCCTTTTTCCCAACTATGTCTTTCTGCTGTAGGACCCCCAGTTCCATTGAGTGGGGGGCTTAGCTTCCCCAGGCTACGACTGTTTCTCAGACTCTCCTTGCTTGTAATAAGCTAGGCAGTGTGAGGATCTGCTCAGGGATTTTGAAGAGTTCCTCAATCTGACCATTAGGCTGAAGTTTGGGCTTGGAAGAGAAGACGACAGAGAGGAACTGGCCCTCTTGTCACATCACATCCAAGAGCATCTTAGAAACATGACTGATGGCTGTTAGTCTTCAGTGCTTGACTGCACTAATGCCCACTCTGTGCTCTGCAGGAGCATGTCAGGAAGCGCAGGCCATGCTTAAAGAAGGGCATCTGGGTCAATCATTTGGAGTTCTACCTGGGAGAGCTGTCCCCTCTCCTCCTCTCCTTGATTCTACTTTACGGCCCTTACAGCTACCTGAATCTCATATTCTCTACTGTTTCACCCACTTACTGCTGAGCTTCCTCCACTAGACTGTGAGCTTCACAGAGTAGCTGCCTCATCTTCTGTCCTTCCTGGATCTCCAATGCCCAGCCCAGGGCCTGGCACAGAGTAAGTGCATGATAAATAACTCTTGAATGGACAAATGGACTGGTGCCTCAGTCTAGCCCAGTGCAGGAAGTTTTGCAGTAGACATGGCTGGCACCGAACCATGTTGGCTGTGACATGTGGCAGGGGTGGTCCACAGACCAACACAATCCGCAGTGGCTGTGTGCCCAAAGTGTTCTAATGGGGAGGCGTCTCACGCTCTCACCTCCTAAGATTCTGTAAGCATGACTACACTTGTGACCACCCCCTGACATGGAGGAACGTACTCACGCAAGTCCACATGGGACCAGGGCTTTTGGGAGGCCAGTCTTGGAAGCCCTGCCCTCCCGATCTGATCTGCAATGATTTCTAAGTGGCCTCTGGACAAGTTCTGTCTGTATGGTTTTGTATTTATTTTAATGGGCACTAGAAGAAAATCCTAGCTGCACAGACAGCCTATTCTTATGTGCACAGGACTGCTTAGAATTAGGATAAATTTATTAAGTCAATGCAAAGAAAGCTGCTGAGTACACAACAGGACAGGAAGCGTGTGGCAGTAGTAGAGAAGGAGGTGGTGCTGCCATTTCTTGGTGTCCACCTCTGCCAGCCCCTTCAGTGCACAGCCCCTTTCACACCCCAGGTTTCTCCAGAATGGGGCACAGACACCTCAGTGGGGTGCGAGATGACTGACTTCGTGGTAGTTCTTTTTTTTTTTAAATTTTAAACTATTCTTATCTTTAAAATACCTATTTTGTTCACTTTATGCTGTTTATAAATTAGCACAGTAATACAAATGTGCAATTAATAACAAATACATATATTCTTGGAGTGTACAGGCTTCAATTTCACATGTACATTGTGTTTACTAATAAAGGATGCCATCAAAGACAACTGAATTTCTACCCGCAAGACTCCTGGCCTTTGACCTCTGCATAGTGACCACAAGCCCATCTCCCCTGTGTTTCACGTTCATGATGCCACCCTGCCAGGCTGAAGTGGTGGGAACTCAGCTCCCAGAACTCCTATGGATGCAGAGCCAAGACCCAGTGCCTGTTCTGGAGGCCAAGTTGCCTGATAAAGCTGTCCCCTTACCAGCTTTTAAACTCCCTGGATGCCACCAGAATTCTGGAGCAGAGGAGAGGTTAAAGACAATCCAGGGAAGTGCTTGTCAAACATTCTTTTTAAGCAGCTTGCTAATAATTTGGGGTGTTTTTATTTTTTTGCAGTGCTGGGGATGGAACTCAGGGCCATATGCATGTAGGCATGTGCTCTCCCACTGAGCCACACCCCAGTCCATCAATACTAATGTGCACGGCAGTTTTCCAGGCATACCATCAAGGTAGCAGGACTGCTCTAGGTAAAGGCTGGTGGGTGCCAAACATCTTTGCCCTCAGCTTCCTCAGAGGCACTCCACAGGGAACCCTTCTTGAAATTTTGGGGCTTCACAAAGAACTGCCTTGAACACTGCTGGTTCCGTCCAATCCTGGAAACTATCTGAGGGAGCAGCAACCCAAAAGTGCAGAGATTCTTAGCACAGCTACAACGCAGCAGCCGGAGCCGGGACAGTTTTCTGCCCCAGCCCTAGAAACGTGGCAATGAAAGTCTCCCTAGACCATGTCACCAACTGGTGCAGGCCCAGGCTGGCGGGGCCTCTCCACTGTCACCAGAACACTCCCAGCCATGTCCCTTGCTCCCTGTGGAGTTCTCATCCAGCCACCACAGTGATGGAACAAGCTGTTCTGTGCAGATTAGTTTGCCAGATGGAATAGATCAATTCAAATGTCCAAACAGGGTTCCCCCCTTCTTTTAAACAACTGTACCCAAATAGCTCTTAACATGATGGTCCTTACCTGGGGTGTGCCAGCTCCCTGAAACTGTATGTAAAATGCTGTTGGCACGGGAGTGGTGACAGCTTTGGGGGTAAGCATCTCCCCACTTCTCACTGTTCTCGAATGGACTCTACAGACATCTTTAAAAGAGGGTACTGGAGAGGAGAGGTCGCAGTGAAGTCCTCTTTAGCCACACCAGAACATCCGGTGTGGCTCTGTGCCGCCGTGTGGGCCCCACTCCCACCTGTCCTGCTGACATTTTCTATCTCAGTGCAGCCAGCTTCTGCCATCAAGCAAAGCAACCCAATGGACTCATGCAGACAGTCTGCCACTGATGGTCACTGAAGCAGGGACTCTATCTGAATCTCACTGCACTGTGAGTCATCCCAGTCCCACCGAGCAGCTTCAATTTTGGGGTTAAAAAGAACTGCAGCAACCGTTTAGCCCTGAGCTCAAGCCATTGAGGCTTGAGCTCCAGCTTTGCTTGCCCTAACAACGCATGTCATGTGTGGATGCTGCCTGCACTACTTCTTATTTAACCCTTGGAGCAGGGGAGGCTGCTGAGGATCAAACCCAGGGTCTCTAGCATGCTTCCTTAGCATGCTAGATCCTATCTCCTGCCCTATTTAGCATTTTCCTCCAACAAGCTCCCTATTTTTCCCCAATGAAATAGTTTAAAAGGGAAGTCCAACTCACTATTATAACCTTCAACCTACCCATCCCTCTTGTAGGAAGTTACCTGGCAGAAACACCTCCAACAATATGAAAATACACATACTCAAGGATATTCACTGTGCTGTGTAATTCCCAAATGCTGGGAACTCCCTAAATGTCCAAGACAAGAGACTGTTGACTGAGCTATGACACGCACAATGCCACTGTAAGAAGGAGGAGGAAGAGCTCCCTGGTGGAACTTCCAGAGCTCCTATTAAATAAAAAGAGCAAAGAGCCAACAGCACATATAGTATGCTACCTGCCCCATGTGCAAGGTCAAAGAAAACACCAGATCTGGTTTGTTTGTTTGTCTGTCACTAATGCAGATTGAACCCAGGCCTCGTGCCTAATAGGCAGGCACTGCGCCATTTGAGCCATTTCCTCAGCCTTTTGGCTTTTATAGTTTGTTTTCAGATAGGGTCTTAGGCTAACTTTGTCTGGGCTGACCTTGACCTGTGACCTCCTGCCTCTGTCTCCTCAGTAGCTGAGATCTCAGGCACCTGAGGCATGTGGCACCACACTCAATCTTTTTTTTTTTTTTTTTTTTTTTAAATTTTGAGACAGGGTCTCACAGTTTTGAGTACTGATATCTCACGTATTTAAAAAAGAAAACTGAGAGCCGGGCACTGGTGGCTCACACCTGCAATCTTAGCTACTGAGGAGGCAGAGATTAGGAGGATCACAGTTCGAAGCCAACCTGGGCAAATAGTTTTCGAGGCCCTCTCTCAAAAAAAAACCCTTTACAAAAAGGG